AGCATTTTCACAATATTCATAACGCGTGTGCAGATAACGCTTGTCAATTATCTTAATTACTAATCGTCGTATTTTCGTTGAGAGGTACGTTTACGCGTTTGTTTGTGATCGTCGTCGGTGATGTCGATCATCGTAGGAAAGACAAAATACCGCGAAACTACACTTGTCTATTTTCTTGAAGTGAATCAACAAAACTTTTTTATTATATCAGCAAAAGGAGCATATCACCCTCCTATGATCTTTGAGTATTTACTGATTTTCAGTAGAGACACTCTCGCTTTATTATACCATCTTGTATCTCGCTGATTTATAATTAGTGCAAGGAAAAAAGAAAGTTTGATTGAATGAGCTAATTTCTGGTGAAATATGAACGATTCAGGAATTCCGTTGAGAGTACAAAATTTATGTTTAAATTGACTGAAAATCTTGAAAATTTAGACTGAATTCCGATCGGAATCACTCCAATCGGAATTTCTGAATCGTTCATATTTCGCCAGAAATTGGCTCATTCGACCAAACTTCGTTTCTCATATAGAAGTGAGATATCGCTACAAAATCTGTAATATACAAATTCGATGTACAATACATTAAATTCAACTTTCTGCGTTTGTGACTGAAATTAACGGCTTTGATGTGTCTTAAATGCAACAATACCGTCTATGTTCGCAATGTACGTCAATGACGAGAATAGTCTCTAATATTAATCGATTCTTTCAATAAAATTTTACTGATTACTAGACTTATAACTGAACCAACAATTATAACTATAAGTTTCAATGAAGAAAATACTGATTGTACTTTAAAGAGCTTGACGCTACAATTTCGCGACAGCGTTAGCTGTTCGTCCTCGCGGTATCGTGTTATTTTTCGACGTCGCTTTTACTATTCGTCCTAATTTTATTCTGCGAACGCACACACGGTATCGAAGTTGATAAAAACGATTTATTTTCGCAGCGGTATCTTCTGTCAGTCAAAGCAGCTCACGAGCGAAATTACGGGCGGATTTAACGATCGTTTCCTCCGGCTTTGTCATACTCCGGAATCTCGATCTGTACCTATACCTCCACAAACCCGCGATCCCCTTCCCTCTTCCCCTGTCCCTTATGGCATCCTTCGATCGTCGTTGTCGTCGTTTCTCTCTCCGTCTGTCTCTCCCTTTCTCTCTTCGCCGACAACCGCTTTGAGGAAACTCGTTAATCCAGCTCGAAACTGCGAGAGCACTCGAACTTCCTGAGTCGAAAATGATCGATCGAACCCTGCATTTGGGACTCGGCTTCGCCCGAAGATCGTAGATATATGTACATAGATACACACACACATACTCGTACAAAGGAGGATGCGAACCTCCAACTGTAATTAGGAGTTTACTCGATTCATGCGGATTTCCACTGGAGTTCAACGTTGCTGCGGTCGCCACGATCGTTGCACGATCCAAGTGCATTGCACGTAGCGTCGGACACGTCTTTGTAAAATCACGGGTGAGTCGTGAAACGTCACGATGTGGTGACATTGTTACTTCGAAGACGCAAGGAAAGAAAGAAAAAAGAAGAGAGAAAGAGAGAGATTTTTACGAACGACGTCGTAATGCAGAATATTACGAGAGAAATAATGCCGCGATGCACACCACTTTAATTAACCGCGATCGCTTTCGGCGTAACGTTGCCTTGCCTCTCGTGTCCCGCAGCTCTCTCTAATCCTCACGTATGATATACGAACGATACGCAGCTACCATGATAAGCTCCGAGTTTGATACAACCGTGCTTGATTCGGATTGCAGCCGGAATAATAAGAAGCAAAATCGATTTGCTCGAAGCATACGCCGGGGCGCAAGGCACAGGATGTAAAAACTGAATCCTGTCCGCCTGGACGAGCGTAAACCTCCGTAATCCGTCTATAAAACAAAATCCTGGTGGAATAGAGGTGGCCGGCCTGCGGCAGACGTGGACGCCATGTATATCCGCGTGTTAGCCGGGACGAATCTCTTACCCACGGCCAATAAGCGTATCATACGGATCTCCATCTCTGAAAATTATATCCGACTTCGTCCGTTCCAGTCGGATCCGCCGTTGTTTACTTACTTCTCCGAGTTATTACGCCGTCGAGATCCGCTACTCCACGGTTTCCTCTTTGGGAGCAACTTTCCAGAGTTACGATTATGGCGGGATTTCCACGAGCTGCCCATGGTATCCCGTTGGCCGCTGATAAAGTAGCTTTTTTTCCGAACGAGACGAGGCGAGATGGAGAGAGAGAGAGAGAGATAGATAGATAGAGATAGATAGAGAGAGAGGGGGGGAGAGAAGAGGGGGGAAGAGAGACTTCGGACACCCGGAGATGATGACGTCATTACGATTTGGTAATCGGTCGGTCAATAGTGAGGACGCAAATTGCACTCCGGTCGCGAGCGCGAACAATAAAAAAAGTGATGGTCGTTTTTACGCGGATAATTTATTCGGACGTCGTGGTGTGCGCGCTGGTAGCCCCGATTTCTGTTTGCGAATATCGGATGCCGTCGCGCGCATCGGTTTAATTACTCGAATTAATTCTTCGCTTTGATGCATTAACAGTCGCGCATATCATTCCACGGGTTATACTTAATTAAAATAATTACACCGGGACCGAAGCCAGTTGGCGTGACACGAAATACTGCGTCTCATTCGCGTTTACGTAAGCGGTTATTAAAATTACACACGGCTCGCTTTTGTTTATCCTGCGCCGCGTGTGCGCGAAATATCATATCTTTCGGTTGAAACTGCAGCTGTGTACCTGTGGCTTCTACTTTTTGCAAACGCGCGCCGGAAATATCTCGCGCGAGGGAGAAAGAGAGAGGGACCTATGAGTCGTGGGCGATTTTAATTCCCCCGGAAAGATATAACGGGATCGATCGGCGCGCGCTTTTCGCGAGGTCTTTGATTTCCGACGCGCGTCTCATTTCGTTCGCCAGGGAACGGCTGTAGCGCGTTATTTCATGCCTCCGCGAGCGTATCGATTATGTTTGGATTGAACGGCGTGTGTAAGGATTTCTCTCGTACACTTGCCGTCCTTGTACCTCCTCCTCGCCTTCCTCCCCTCTTTTGTGAAGGAACGAGCACGGCAGAGAGAGAACGTCCCTTCTCTCTCTCCGCCCGCGTAGAAAGCCGCGGGCTAATCTCCCGACAAAGGGGGCCATCGAGTATCGATCCCTTATTCTCTTTGACGTACCGCTTACTATCTCTCGCCTGCACACCGGCCCTCGATAAGGGCCGAGTTTACCAACGCACGGCCGGCGAATCGAACGCGAAATGCGCACTCGCCGGATGATTCCTCCGCGAACGCATACGTGGGGCAGCCTTCGCATCTTCTCTCTCCGACGAGATCGCATCCACGATGTGTTTCGCACCTGCGACCGAGCCGCGCCGTGCAAAGGATCGTCTTACGGGGACGTGTCACATTTTTTACAACGTCTTTGAGAGACGACGCGCGTTAACTTATCATAGCGCGGAGGAAAAATTCGAGACGCTTCGAGCGTAGTATATTTTCGCGAGAACGCGCGCGCTCGTCGAAATTACGCAAACGACGTCAACTCTTCGCGTACAATCACTTTCTTCGAGACATATATTTCAGTTTGTCTCGGGCAACTTTGAATCTATTATAAATTTGTTAAAAATCAATATCTTTGAACACATTTTGTTCGCAGAGATGCGAAGAAAAACCTCAGTTGCAAAATACACTGAGAAAAAAATACTTGAAAACTTACTTGTGGAATATAAAGTTTATTCGCAAAAATATATTTTTTATCCAACAAATAAAATTTCGAGTATTTTTCAATGTCAACAAAATCAAAATCTATAGACAAATTTTGATATTTTCCTAGAGTCTTTAGGAAAGTTGGTGAGTAATCAAATGTTTGTTTGGGTCTAGCAGACTCGACATGACACGTAAAGAGTTGAGGGATGATGTTCGGATATTCCTTCCTCAGGAAGAACAGGCAGTTTCATGATGAAGCCACTCGACTCCGAGCGGGAAAAGTGACATGGTCACGACATTCGTTACTCATTGATTGAAACATATATTCATATATACCGAAATCCACGCGGAGCTTTGACCGGCCGAGACGGAAAGTGGCCGCGAGAGAATCGCGGAGCTTGGTAATCTCATTTAATGGCGATTTACTGAGAATCGGTGTTTAATCCGCGAGGGTAATTTGACGGAAATGTCGAATGTCTGCTAACAGACCTATTGACAGAAGTATTAAGGGACGTGATGCCTCGTTATAAATTGCTTGTTCCTGATTAATCCGCCCTTTACACCGTGCTGCTCGCTGTAATTTCATATCGGCGCAACGCTCGGATCGAGAGCCCGCCCGTTAACCCGCCCAGTCACGGATAGTACGAATCGTTTTAATAAAGTCTATAGTCGCGTCGCCGAGACGAACAAAGCCGAATTATACACAATAAAATCTAAATTAAGGGTAGTCGTGTCGTGCGACTATCGCATACGATCGAACTGTGCGAGAGGTCGGGAACGTACAAATAATTCATTTTGTTATGGATCACACGAAGAAGGAAAAAAAAGAAAAGAAACTCATCCTCGTGGCGTAATAAATAACGATGTCCTGCGCATTAATACTAATTACTCTCATAATGACTCTTCATAAAGCTCTAATAACTTAATCAGTCTTAATAATCCCAATTATTCTTAATATCCTGAGCGAGTTCGCTCTTTCGAAAAATTCGGAAGGATTGAGCGAAGAGACGAGACGACGGTGGCGGTTTCGGAAGGTGACGATTTCGAGAGTTCGCCTCCGTCTCCACCTCCCCCCCTGTCCCTCCACTATTAACGAAACTACTCTCGTGAGTGAGAGTCCCGAGAAGTCCTGGCAGTCGCGAGAAACGAGCGGAAACGTTCACCTGCGAAGGCTGCATAATTCAGCGGCATAAATTAATACGTTCTCGGGAATCTCGGCGCGACCGCCATCGTCGCCGCACGTCTGACACAATTAGGCAGAGATTAATTAAACTCACTTCTCGGTGGACCTTGCCCCTCACCTTTCCGCCTTCACCGCTCTCACTTATTCGTCCTCGGTCCCGCTGTATCGTCCGCCTGAAAGAACGCAATTAATCGTATATGAAATCGTTTAAACGATTACTAATGATAATGACCGGTTGAAGTGGTATTTATTGCAGCACGGGAATCAATTTAACTCGCGTTTCAAGCGATCGTGGGTGTTCTCACGCGAGAAATTGCCGGATATTTGTCGCGTAGAGTATTTTGAGTAATTAGTCATGTAATAACGTTCTTAATCATAATAAACGTTTATGGTTCTTACCGAATTGTACTAGATATGCAAAGTATTGGCTACAAGTGTAAACGTATTTCATATCTGTGTGTGTGTGTGTGTGTGTGTGTGTGTGTGTGTCTGAACAACCGCAATATATTTATTACACTCGTACACGCGCGCTCCGTGATGGATACACGAAATAATTTGTTAATTTGTCATCGATAAATGTGCGAAATAATTTCTCGATTTCGGCACGTCTGAATTTCCGCGAGAAAATACCAATGGTACGTCGGAAAACGGTCGGTTGCTTTTAGCGCGACTGACGCACGCGGATGAGTGCGACGCGATATAACGGGGTGTGTTTTAATTAGCTATACCGGCAGCATCATATTCTATTACGAGGGAACGGGAACTCGAATCGAACGGATATCGACTCCGGCGGCGGCCCGAGATGCTGCCTCTTGTTCGCAGTATCCCGAGAATGTCGGTGCGACAACTTCTTAATTAAACCATTATGCGTTATAGCGCAAGCTTTTATTGCCGATGAGACCGGGCGGGCGGCAGGAAGGCACGAGGGGTTGGGGAGGACCCGAAGAACGAGGGCAAACGGGGGAAGTAAAGGAGGAGGAGGAGAAGGTGGAGGGAAAGGAGCCGGGCATCTCGTGCCTTCGTCTCTCGCGTCCTTACCCCCCGGGCATGTAAATTCGCGATAATAGCAGGGGATGCTTCATCCCCTAACCCAGCCTTAACTTGGCCTTTATGAGTTAATAACTTGGGTTATCGAGAAATTCGCCTTGGCTGCTCGCGTCCTACCGGGGGTGTGTGTATATACCTGTGTCGTGCGGCCCGCGTTCGACTACACATAATACACCCACGTGCGTTCCTGAGAGAATCTTAAACAATTCCTCGCGAGAGGAGCAAGTTTCGAGAGCGGCCGGGAGGTAATAACGCCGCGAACTCTCTATCGGCTATCCTCGCGTTTAACAGCGCACGGGCTGTTCCGGCTACTGAATACTGTCAGGCAACTGCTTACTCTCTAAATTTCTCGCAGTGAAGTCTCACTCAAAACGAGCGAAAAGTGGCAGAGCATTTTCGCACAAAGCGACAGTGAAAACACTGCCACTCGAAGTCGCAAGAGTGAATATTTCACACTCGAGTTTAAAGTGAATTCCGACTCTATATGAGTGAATGTTTCAATTGACCAAAATGAATGTCCCTGTAACGCTGGAGTACATCGGATTCACTGTTGAATTTGGAGTGAAAATATTTACTCGACGATTCAAAAAAAATTCTACTCTATAAACAATTGCTCGAATTCGAGTGACTCGTGGTGGTCACTCTACTTTTCGAATGAAATTTCGCTTCGAAAAATTTAGAGAGTAACGAAACTCACATTTCATGAAGGAAAATGTCTCGATGCGAATCAATCGTCTTCGGGATATTTAGTCTCATTTCGCAAACTACATTCTTCGTGCAATTCGATAACTTTGGAGAATCTTCGCAGAAAGAATGATTCCATCACGAATGAGAGAAGGTTCATTGTGCACAGTATCGATTTAAAGCTATCCCGACATTCAGCTACGTTTATTCTCTCGAAGTCGGAAAAAGCGCGTGCAAGGCCGCGGGAAGATTGTTTCGTGTCTCAACGTCGACCTGTTCGCGAGTTATAGTCTTTGAAAGTTTCGGTATGTTGGGTGCACGTGCGAATGCGATATAGCGTGTATAACTTTACTAGCTACACCCCAATACGATACGCGCTACACGCGAGCGCGCACTTCACTGAGAGCGAGGACGCCGTGAGTGAAAGGCCGCGTTGGGTCGAGCGGCCAGACGACTGCACGCAAGTGGGAACAAGTCCATGTTTCTGAGATACAATGTTTATACGCGATACGCACGCCGCACGTGCTATGAGTACGCGGCAAGTGCCGCGAGTCCATTCAGACGCGGATCCGCGACTACAGGCGCGATAATTCCACCTGTGAACGTCGTAGAGACTTGAAATCAAGACTCTTGAAAAGCTAACACTCTCGCGTTTCTGACAGGCATGCAGTCATTATTTTTCAAGATAAAAAATTCATTGGCCAAATTAGATTCTCTCGATAGAAAACATTATTGCCTTGTATATGTGTATGTTTGCGCGTGTATATACAGAGCAATAGTCGTCGGAAGAGTCTTTTGTATGCACCAATGACGTTTTGTAACTGCTATTTTATCTGTCTTTGTCTAGAGAAGTTATGAACGAACAATGGGGAAACTTAATATCAACACAACGCTTCTATCGCAATATCGTCTCATTTTTCTCGTGAAATTTTTCTTGTTGAGAGAGAACGCGTTATTATAGTAATTTCAGGTTTATTTCTTTCGTACGGACTGTTTCATCTCTTTTTTCCAGATTTTCATTTAACCGACATGAAATTCAAGAGGTACAAGATTTCGTTATTTCAAACTCTTTTGTCGCACGACATTGTTGTGTGTCTAAGACTATTGTAAATCGCGACGGTTAACGGTAAAAATAATATCTCATATTTCTAACAATTTTCGATTTTAGGTCTAGATCTCAAATTGTAATTTGAGATTAAACAAGATCAGCAAATAACGATAATAGCTGAAAAACGCCGCGAAACGTTATTTTCTCGTTGCGCTGAATTTCGCGCGAGCTCGGGGGGAGGCAACAGTTTAGAAATATTTCTTGCGGCGCGAGAGAACGGATATTGCGTAACCGTCGAGAAACGCGGCAGGTGTTTTGACGTCCGAGGTTACACGCGCGGCTGTTATTAGCGGCTATTCGGATCAACAAACTTCATTTTCAGTAAGCGCAGACAGTCTACGCGAGCGAACAATTTCCGCAAGTAGCGAAAAGCCATTGAATTATTCGACGTCGAAGCCCGACACGCTGCGCGCGCACTTGGCGGCACAGCGGATTTCGTAGTTTCGAGTCGAGCTAACAATAGCGCGAACTCCCGGGTCAATATTTGGGACAAAATTGAAGAGGGTTAATTAGCAAATCGAAACGCCCAGGCGCGCAGTTTGCTACTCGATTTATCGGCGGCGCAGTGCGGCGCCGAAAGCGTTCGTCGTATTCATACACACGCATATATACACAGTCTGGCTTGTGTTACAGCGCCGAGCGGCTTATTTGTAACAGGGCGTATTACACGCGCCAACGGTACACGTTCGTATTTAAATATGCGCATGTACGCACCAGCTGTCTCAGAGCTCGCGTCATATTTTATGAGCGGTCGATACTTCACCCCGTAGCTTTGATGATACGACGAACGCGCCATACATCGTCGAGCTTTAACAGATTATGTTTGGAGACGTGAGCGGCAGTGTGTACGTAATGCTGAAAATTACCACTTGCAAATTGAAAATTGTAGTTGTATTACCGCGGCGAGCACGGTCCTGCAACCGCGTGGTTTGCAATTCAACTAATCAACCATGAATCGAGTGCGATTTACGTGTCGTGATCGATGGATATCACCTGTTTACACGTGTCCGCGATAATGCCGCCGTAAAAACATCTACTCCCTCGCGATGGTGGAGGGCTGCGCGTTTACGACGCATATTACGATTGCTAGAGGGCCGGCCATATGTCCCGATTCAAGATTTAGTATCGGCGCGACCGCCGGGCTCTCCGCTGCGCAGAGTCGCGTCGGCGAAATTCCATTATCGGTCACCGGCGATAAATATTATAAATTGGGCTGGTCGCCCTGTGCAGGTCCACGCAATTCCGCTCTCTCTCTCTCTCTCTTTTTTCTCGTCGTCTACCCATCCTCTGACCCGCCACAGCCACCCTCTACGAGGAAGATCGCCGGGCAAATATATCCTCGTCCGTCTCCCCGTCTATCCTGGCCTCCACCTCGTCCCTTTCTTCTTTTTTAAACCCTCCGCGATAAATCTAGCGAGAAGCCAGGACGCGGGGAAAGGATAGTCCGAGCGATTTTAACGGCGGGTGGTGCTTCGCGCCCATTATTGGCCGGCGATATCGCGACGGCACCCCGACGTTTTGTATTCTCTCCTTTTTTCTTCCTATCCACTTTTTGCGACTCGCTTTCGTTCTCTACGCTGGTCTCTCTCCAGCGTCCTTATCGTTTCATTCAATCCCAAAACATCGTCCTGGGTCCGATGCGGTTTCTGACCTTATCTACTCGTAACTTTCTCCGCCTTTAATCTGCTCGATTTTCTCAATTCTCCCTCGATTCCCCTCGATATTTACATTTCCGAGGCGATAGGCACCTCGATTCAGGAGTGGCGATAATTATATACCAGGCCCTCTGCGCGTATTCCCGAGAATCTCATTCATACTCGTGCGTCGGACAAACCCCGAGACAGCTTGGAGCCAAGAAGCTTCTCAGGGCTCTCACTTTGCTGGAAACTTGGCATAATTAACGAAGAACGCGGAAACACTCGGTAGCGAGGGCAGACCCATCGAGTCGTTTTCCCGGTTCTCCTCCTGTTGCTCCGGTGTCGATTCTCATTAGGAGTGATCACGGCAAATGAGGAGTCAGAAGTGCGTCCGTGTCGAGGAAGCGGAGCGACACTTTCGGCTGGCGTCGATTGCCGGACCGATAATCGCGGACGTCAATTATTCGGACACGTTGATCACCGGCAACGTTGATCCTGACCATTATCCGCCTTTCAGTCGGGGCGGCAGTCGTGTGCGCGTGTACGCGCCCGCCGGTGAAACGTGACGCGATAGCAAAATGAAAATCGTGACGTGGTACGGACACTAGACGATTAAAGATATCGTCGATCGCGCACATCATCGATGAACATTGAACGCTGTCTGTGTACGTGTGAACGCCGGCAATGCGAGCATCAC